GTTAGGAGGTCAAGGAGCCCTGGAGGTGCAATGGTTTAGCACTTGACTACTAACCAAATGGTTGACAGTTCAAAACCACCCAGCAGCTCCATGGGAGAAAGACCTGGCAATCTGCTTCTGTAAAGATTACAGCCAGGAAAACACTACGGGGCAATTCTACTCTTATCACATGGAGTCACTATGAATTGAAATCGACTCCACAGCACACAACATAAATAAGGTGACCATGAGCTGGAGCCAACTCAATGACAGAAAACAATATGAAACTGATCAAATAACCATGCACAAGAGATAACCAATATTTAAGCACAGTAATCTTGTGTTAATACCTTAATGTAAATGCATAACAAGTACAAAAACAAAACTCAGAAAACTCAGTACTTTACAAAATACTTTTTTAGTTACTAGTACTATTAGTATTATGACACTGAAGCTATTTGAACATTATTAGGAACCAAGGTTTTTACTAAAAGACAAAAGAGATACAAACATAAAATAACAAAGTGACACGATTTGCCCATTTACATTTATCCCATGAATGTTCCTTGCTTCAGCCTAATAAATCAGCCTTGAGCAAACATTTCTAAAAACCATTAGAATTCTTGCTTAAAACCCATCTTCCTGCCATATTTTTGCTTGCCAACTTCAAATTAGTTTCCAGTGCCCCATGACACCCAGAACTCATAAAAAACCTCTTGCCTCACCTTTCCCTTTAGAGTTGAACTCAGACTTACGCTGAAGTCTCTTTCCTATCGTAATAGACTGAATAAAGTCTAGTTTGCCTATTTAACATTGTCCGGCACCATCTTATACGTGTGTATATATATACATGTGTGTGTCCGTATATATGTGTACATGTATATATATACATCTGTATATATAAAACCTTAAATTTGTTAGGAATAAAAGTATGGATTCATGATGTAAGCAATTATGTTTTTGTTTTTTTTCTTTTTAACTGTTTAGTTGTTACAACCTTTTGACTCAGCAGGTTATCTGGGCACTACACTTCCCCTCACAAGCTCAGCAGGGTTACTTTGCAACAGCCTAGCTGGCGTAGAATTTTGCTACTCTAATCAATACATTCTTCTTTGGAAACAAGCTCTATGGATACTTAGGTCCCACTGAGTTGGTTTAGTGTAGCGTACTAACTTCTAGAGGCCTAGTACATGCAGAATTGGTAACTACAGGGGATGAAGGCTTAAAAAGAAGATCCTAGAAAGTAAAACTCAAACTTGTTTTAACAAAAATTTTAAACATCAAGGTGTATCTCAACACTTCAGTGACAAAAATTTGACTTACCAGGAATCTGTTTAACAGCTAAACACTTTAGACCACTGAGTTAACATTAGGTTACGTACACCTTACAATGAATGTCATCTCAAGTTGTTAAATAAGCCAATGTGAAACCAGAAAAAATTACTAGCTCTGCTTTAGTGCCTAAAGTATCACAGCATCACACTTAGAAGAAATCTTATCTTCCCCTTATTGTCATGCCATACAGCTTTTTAAAATGTTAACAAAAATCAAGAAAAAAAATCCTTGAAAATATATTAACACTGGGAATGAAAATAAAGTATTGAACACGTGCACAGGCAGAGCTTAGTCAACCTCTTCCATGCGTGATGTGTCATCATCTCCTTCCAGGGGCGGCATTTCTTCAGTGATAGCAGCAGTGGTATCGTCAGCAGTAGGGTCATCTTCATCAATACCAAGTTTGATCATCCTGCAGATCCTGTTAGCATGTGTCTGGGGATCTTCTACACTGAAGCCAGAAGACAGGAGTGCGGTTTCATAGAGTAAGATGACCAGATCCTTCACAGACTTATCATTTTTGTCGGCTTCAGCCTTTTGCCGTAAGGTCTCAATGATGGAATGGTCGGGGTTGATCTCTAGATGTTTCTTTGCTGCCATGTAGCCCATGGTCGAGTTGCCTCTCAGGGCTTGAGCCTTCATGATTCTTTCCATGTCTGTCATCCAGCCATATGTGCTTGTGACAATGCAGCATGGGGGCGCGACCAATCGGTTTGACACCACCACCTTTTCAACTTTTTTCTCCAAAATGTCTTTTTGCAAAGATTCTCAACCTTTGTTTTTTTTCTCTTCTTGTTTCTTTTTTTCTTCTTCATCTTCTGTAAGTTCCAAGCCCTCTTTGGTGACTGACACTAAAGTCTTCCCCTCAAACTCCTTCAGCTGTTGGACACAGTATTCATCGATGGGCTTGATCATATAGATCACTTCTAAGCCATGCTTCCGGAGACATTCTACAAAGGCCAAGTTAGCAACTTGGTCCTTGGTTTCACCAGTGATGTAATAGATGTGTTTCTGGTTTTCCTTCATTCTGGTACAACAGTCCTTGAGAGACACCATCTCATCACTCGAAGCAGATGTGTAATACCTTAACAGCTCTGAAAGCTTCTTCCGATTTTGAGAGTCTTCATGTATTCCAAGCTTAACGTTTTTAGAGAACTGCTCATAAAACTTCTCGCAGTTCTCTTTATCTTCAGCCAGTTCAGTGAAGAGTTCTAAGCACTTTTTGACCAAGTTCTTCCTGATAACTTTCAAAATTTTGCTTTGTTGCAACATCTCACAGGAAATATTTAGAGGAAGATCCTCAGAGTCCACCACGCCTCTAATAAAATTCAGATATTCAGGAATTAGCTCCTCAGTTATCCATGATTAAAACTGCATACGTACAACTTAATGTTCTTTTTCTTTCTGTTTTCTAACAGATCAAAAGGAGCACGTCTTGGGACAAAGAGAAGGGCTATGAATTCCAGCTGTCCTTCAACTGAGAAATGCTTCACGGCCAAGTGGTCTTCCCAGTCATTGGTCAAGCTCTTATAGAATTCTCCGTATTATTAGTAATATCAGGATTTCTGGTGCAAATGGACTTCGCTTTATTGAGTACCTCTTGGTCAATGTACTTTTCCTTGATCTTCTTTTTGTTCTTCTTGTCACCGTCTTTCTTTTCTTCCTCCTCTTCATCAGAAGCAGCATCTTCTATTTCAGGCTTGTCATCAGACTCCTTTTCTTTCTTTTTCCTCCTCTTTCTCTTCCTTTTCTTCAGCCTCATCATCTCTCCTTTCTCTCGCTCTTTCTCCACGAAGAGGGTGATCGGGTAGCCGATGAACTGAGAGTGCTTCTTCATGATCTCCTTCATCCTCCTTTTTTCCAAGTACTCCGTTTGGTCTTCCTTCAGATGCAGGATCACCTTTGTTCCACGACCCATAGGTTCTCCTGTGTCCATCCTAACTGTGAAGGACCCTCCTGCAGAAGACTCCCATGCATACTGCTCATCATGTTTGGTGGATCAGTCATTTTCTCAGCAACCAAATACGCGAAGTAAAACCCCACACCAAACTGGCCAATCATGGGGATGTCTGAACCAGCCTGCGAAGCTTGCATGAACGCTTTGGTCCCCGACTTGGCGATGGTACCAAGATTATTGATCAAGTCGGCCATGGTCATCCCAATTCCAGTGTCTACAATCATGAGGGTTCGATCTTGCTTGTTTGGAATGAGATTAATATGCAGCTCCTTCCCAGAGTCTAGCTTACTGGGATCTGTCAAGCTTTCATATCTGATCTTGTCCAACACATCTGATGAATTTGAAATCAGCTCCCTCAGAAAGATTTCTTTGTTCAAATAGAAAGTATCGATGATCAAGGACATCAACTGCGCAATTTCAGCCTGGAAGGCAAACGTCTCCACCTCTTCCTCCTCCATGGGGTGGTCTTGGGTCTGGGTCTCCTCGGGCATCTTGGTGAAAGGCCTGCACAGACTCCGCAACGCAGCAGCACCACGATGCAGAAGCAACTTGCAATTATGTATTTTACATGCTCACTGAAACGCCAAGACCAAACTAACTCCATGTTAATAGGTTTTGCATTATGACCGAGACCATGTATTGCACACACCTTGGTTTTTAAAAGAAACCAGACATTTGGAGATAAAGGCTTGATTCCAGACCTGGAGCAGGAGAGTAAAGTGATCCAGGAACTTCTTTTGCGTTCAAACACTAGTAGGGTTCTGTCAATAGTCTATGTGGTTGCTACAACTAAGAAACTAAATAATTTTTAATTTTTATTAATTTAACAATAATCTTGATTCAATTATTGGAAAAGTGCTTGGAGTAACCTGGGATTGTCAATCTACTTTTCAAAACTAAAATTTATGTAATGTGCTGCTTCCGGATTCTGGAAGATGGAATACAAAAAAAAGAAACGTAAAATACCTCATAAATAAATTTATACTGATTAATTTTATTTACAATTTTTACCTTAACAATAAATGGGCATATTGAGTTAAATGAGATTTTTCATTAAAAATTTCACGTTTACATTTTCAAATGTCTAATATGGCCACTAAAAGATGTTAAATTACATTTTTGATGTGCATTACATTTCTATTAGAACCGTACAAGACCTCAATGTCTACCCTACAAAAAATACAGAATACAAACTAAACAAAATAATAGTAACATCTGTGAGAGAACACTATGGGAGTTCCTTGTTTCACCAGGTCCTGCATGTTTTCCACCATTGGGTGCTTACCACTTTTGCTCTCTATTAAGAAGCATACATCATAAACACCCACTGAGTTTTTCTTCTCTGATGGGTTTCTGACTTACACAGGTTCCAACTGTCACAGCTTTGACTTTATCAGAATGCTGAATATTTTAACATTTTACAGGACAAGCAGGAGAATGTTCTGTGTGACACGGATTAAACAGATCTAGAAATAAAAAGGCAACGTGAAAAAATGGTTTGGATCCTAACGTCAAAAAACTCAACAATCACAGTAGATAATTTATGGACAACTGGAGAAATTTTCATTTGCTGTGAGAGACAATGACAATCTAGGATGTACTGGTAGAAAACTGACCTTATTTGTAGGAGCTTAACGGGTGAATTCTGCAATTAACCATTGGTTGTTTCATAATAATTCACATACATGGACAAACTCCCAACATTTATAAAGGCTCTCTAAAACATGATTTTTTATAGAATTACTGAGGTTTGAGGAATCACAACAGAATCTCCCACATTCCATATATTCAAGATGTTCCTCTCCAGGGTAATTTCTTATATGTTTAGTGAGGGATGAGGAATAACTAAATGCTTTCCCACATTCCTTACATTCATAAAGTTTCTCCCACTGTGAGGTTATTTACGTTCAGTCAGCACTGAAGACTAAAGGCTTTCCCTCATTCCTCACTGAAGGCCTCACTCCTCTGTGAGTTCTTATATGTGTAGTGAGGTGTGAGGACTGACGAAAGGCTTTCCTGCATTTCTTACATTCATAAGGCCTTTCACCACTGTGAGTTCTCATATGTCTAGTGAGGCCTGAGGTGTGAGAAAAGGCTTTGCTACATTCCATACATTTATAGGGTCTCTCTCCACAGTGAGTTCTCAAATGTAGAGTAAGGTGTGAGGATCGACTGAAGGCTTTGCCACAATCCTTACATTCATAAGGCCTCTCTCCACTGTGAGTTCTTACATGTTTAGTGAGGTTTGAGGAGTGACTAAAACCTTTGCCACATTTCTGACATTCATAAGGCCTCTCACCACTATGAGTTCTCATATGTTCAGTGAGATATGAAGACCGACTAAAAGCTTTGCCACATTCCTTACATTCATAAGGCTTCTCTCCACTGTGAATTCTTATGTATCTAGTTAGTTTTGAGGAAAGACTAAAGGCTTTACCACATTCCTTACATTTATAAGGTCTCTCTCCACTGTGAATTCTTGTATGTCTAATTAGGTTTGAGGAAAGACTAAAGGCTTTCCCACATTCTTTACATTCATAAAGCCTCTCTCCACTGTGAATTCTCATATGTGCACTGAGATTTGACAACTGACAAAAGGTTTTCCCACATTCCTTGCATACATAAGGCCTCTCTCCACTATGAGTTCTTATATGTGCAGTGAGGTTTGAGGACTGACTAAAGGCTTTCCCACATTCCTTACATACATAAGGCCTCTCTCCACTGTGAATTCTCATATGTATAGTGAGCTTTGAGGAATGACGAAAGCATTTGCTGCATTCCTTACATTCATAGGATTTCTCTCCAGTAAGAGTTCTCACAGCAGTGCTGAGGTAAAACGGACAACTGCGGGCTTCTCCGTATTCCTTACACTGATAGGCACTGCATCCAGAATGAGATTTGATATGCTGCTTAAGTGATGAATGATTCACCAAGGATTTTCCACACTCAAGGCATTCAGAAGGATATGCTTCCATAGGAGTTTTTAGCAGAGAAAGATCTGGAATCTGGCTGAAAGTCTGTCCACAATGATTGTCTTCATTACTTTCACAGAGGTTCTCTAACATACGCCTTCTGTTAAAAACAGGCAGCATGCTGTTGGATACAAATTTGTTACTATTCCACCACTACCATACACATTAGACATGTATTTTTTGGCCTGAACTGTCTCATGTTTCATAGATAAAATCATATAGCAGACATGCTGCCATTATTTTTACACTGGTTCTAAAATACGGTGCTCTCCAACTAATAACTCTAAGTGAAATGCTTCAAATATTAAACATTGGACTCACATATATGAAAATACTGTACTGTGAAAATTCTGTGATTACACGAAAGAACTAGTTTTACGTAAATAAGATACCGAAATGGCACAAAAGTTTGCATTGCCGTATATGTATGTATGTATACGTATATATATACACATATAAAGGTTCTAGTTGTTAAGTGCTGTTGAGTTGATTCCAGCTTAGTGACCCCATGTGACCAAAAGGCTGGTGGTTCAAACCCACCCAGTGGCACTGCCAAGAGTCGGAATAGACAAGACAGCAACAGGTCTGAGATGTGCACACACACACACAGACATCCCTACTCAATTATCAACTATCTCATTATCTGACATTTCACATTTACAATAGAAAAAATCTATTTGATTATTTTGCACATTAATGAAGGTCTCAGAGTGGCCTCAGAGAATCTGGGCAGCACTACCCTGCACCCTCCAGTCCCTCCTGCTGGCAGGGTTGCCACGTCGAGCTGATGGGCACAGCCATGCTCCTCTGTGGCCATAGCCTGCAGATGGACGCACAGGCAGTCTCAGCAAACAGGCACCTCTTCAGGGTTCCTATCTCCTATGTGACCTGAGGCCCTGCAACTTAAAATTGCTGTCAGGTGGAACAGCAGGAAGGAAACTGCAACAGAGAGGGTGTCTGGAAGAAATGCTTGCAAGTTTAATGATACCCCAAAGTGAAGCAAACAGGGCCTGAAGCCTCCACGTTGGTGGGGCTGGTTGTGTAGCAAGGCCCACAGCTCTCTCAAAAAAGGCCCTAGCCTTGGTGACTCACCAGCCTTGGAGAGCAATGTAGGCTCTGGGAACTGAAATGCAGAGCTTGTAGGGGTGGGACTGTAGTCCTTGACATGGTTCCACAAAGGGAGCTCTTACCCAGCACAGGAGAAAGGTGAAGTGGTTAAGCCATGGGCCCTCCGGGTATACAGCCCAGGTTTATCCAGCTTTGTCTCCTCCAAGCCTCCTTCCTCACGGAGGAATTATTCATAAACGGACTCATCACAGTAATTAGTAAATTAGTAAATCTTAGCTGTCATTATCTCTATGATCACATTTTCCAAACAAAAAACATTGGACAAATGGTCTGAAAACAGAAACAAAAAATCCTTCATTTTCACATAACACCAACTTTCACAAAACTTTCTGGTCTTTGGAACCTAACCATGTCAAAAAATGAGTAGTGGGTGTATGTGCATATACATATATACATATATACACATGTGCACAAAAGCCCAGGAACCCTGCTGGCGCACTGGTTAAGCACTCGGCTACTAACCGAAAGGTTGCCAGTTTGAACCCACCAGCAACTACGCAAGAGAAAGACAGGGCAGTCTGCTTCCTTAAAGATTACATCCTTTGAAACCCTACGGGGCAGTTCTACTCTGTCCTATGTGGTCGCTATGAGTCGGAATACTCCATAGTATAAAAATGGGTTTTTATACGTGTATGTGTGCATGTGTGTATACGCATACGTATGTGTGGGTATGTATATATGTATATATAGTTGTTGCAGTTAAGAGTTAATTCCAGTTCACAGTGACCCCATGTGACAGAGAAGAACTGCCCCATAGGGTTTTCTTGGCTGTAATTACGGAAGCACAATGCCAGGTGTTTCTCCCACAGAGCCACTGTATAGGCTCGAATTGCCAATCTTTTGGTTAGCGATCGAGGGCTTAACCATTTGTCTGCCCTGTGCTCCTTAGATATATAATCATTTTAATGTCATTATACCTTCTTAAAACTCTCCTAAGAAGCATTGCTGTCTCTCACACAAATGACACTCACCTTACATGTGTTTTCTGGTTGTTATCCTGATCTTCAGTGACAAGCAATTCGAAGATTTCTCCGACAATCGAGGACCAGGTGTCATTTTTCATGAATCGTAATATTGTATTTTCAGTGGATAGCTTGTCTCCATCAATAAGGTTTTGAGAAGCTGACCCAATGATTAAAGGTGAGGTTCACAACATGAAACAAAATGGAGAGAAAATACTCAGAGGGAAAAGGTAGCTGTGAACAAAGAAAGCTTCTGATGCATTTTGCAGTTTCCGTACTTGGGCATTGTTGAGAAACCAATTTACTAGGAAATACTTCCAAGAAGATTGAGAGTGATGGTGACATAAATAGGGTGCAATTAGAAGAGCAAAGTAGAAAGGTATTGGAGACAATGCACATGGAACATTAAAAGAGGAAAGGGGGACAGTCTTTTTCCATGAACCAGGTGTGTTAGGATTGATGAAAGTCAGAAACACAAGCTCAGGTTTCTGTGAAGCACATACTCCTCAACCCAAAAGAGACTTTTTCTTATTGATTTTTTCAAATCTCATTCCTTCCATGCAGGCCCAGTCCTTTAAACAATTCTTGCCTCCTGGTGCCCCCAACACAGTGGTCCTGGACAAGTGCTATCTGCACTCTCCTCAGGTCTTTCTCTTGCTACTCTGGGGAACAAATGGGTGCAGATGATGTGGTGATCATGGAGAAAGGCATATCATTAGGGAAGACAGGGAGGAGCAATGAACACTTCCCTGACACGGAGCCAACACTTTGGTCCCCAGAGTCTCTGGTGATTTACAGGTGTGAATTTATTTGTAGCAAAATAATCATGTCAAATTTGTAATAAACAAAGTAAGACTCTTTACATGGTCTCAGACCACAAATATTCTCTCTGTGCACCAAAGAAACCCCTGAAGTCAACACCCACATTTACACTTAAAGAACCTTAAGCCTTTTAATAAAAATTAAAATGAGAAGACAGTTTAATAAACAGAGCTCTGTATTCATAGGAAACCCAAGATATGCATGTTCCAGAGAGCAAGGGACCACACCTGTCTTATTTAACAATGTTTTCCCATTCCTTGGTCCACACAGTGGAGTAAAATCGATGGGAATGACATATTTGGACACAAAAAAATTTAAAAAATTTTTAAATGAAGAGCTATGGTGGCTGACCAAAAGGTTGGCAGTTTGAATCCACCAGGCACTCCTTGGAAACCCTATGGGGCAGTTCTACTCTAAACTATAGGGTTGCTATGAGTCGGAATCTACAGCAATGGGTTTGGGGTTTTTTTTATCCATACCTACTGAGGCCAGACTTCTGAAGATTTCCATCATCACATCTCTGTAGAGTTGCCTCTGAGAAAGATCCAGCAAAGCCCATTCTTCCTGAGTAAAGTTCACAGCCACTTCCTCAACAGCCACTGAGTCCTAAAAATTTCCACATATTCTGCTTCAGCAAGCTACTGCATACTCCAGTGTGTGTGAAAGAAGGGTGAGGCTGACTGTCCTTGGGAACTGAGATTTCATGGGGATTAGACACAGGTTTTGTGTTCTACCAAGGTCTACACTAGGGGTTAGCCATCAGCCTCATCCCTTCACTGTCTACATTCACTTCTTCATGGACTGCATCCTGTCTCACAGACTTAACAATCCTTCCAACACAATGAACTTCTCTCTCCACAGTCTGTGACCAATTGTTGTCTCATTCGTCTCTACCTTTATGGTCTAGAACAATCAGAACACATAGTGGAGAAATGCTCTACAGTGAAGCCGTATTTCCACATTTGGATCATCTCTTCCTTGTGAAAAAAAAATTCACCTCCTTGCACAAGACCCAGCAAAATATTTAATAAAACATGAAACACAAGGTGAAAGCAGGATGAAATGTTAACAACTGGGAAACACTGCAGGACTGTTTTTCCTTTTGCCCCTCACCAGCCATGGGGGCCCCAGTGGACTGCACAAAGGGCAACCTAACCCAAGGCCCTAAGCTTGTCATATTTTCTTAACTCCAGATGATCGGGGCTGACAGGACCACCTGCTAAAAACAAAATATTATTTTGAGAAATTATAAATTTTTACATATCTGTCATCTACTTTTCAATAACTCTACAGATGCACTGTTATGCACTCTGTCCCTTCATGGAGACAGACAAGGCAAAGGTATTGCAAATGTAAATGGAGATCAGCTGAGACACAGGAAACAAGACAATCTAGATATCATCACAATTTTCAAACTTTCAGACCCAAAGCTACTGTACAGCAATTATGAGTCACTCTCCCTTCAACAAACACACCCAGACACCCACACACAGTTATGACAAAGAGCTGAATCTTTGAAGAATCAGAATAGCATGCCCTTGTGTTTGCTGACCATAAACAAAAGATTAAGATTCACATTCTCTAGTAAGTTCATTGACGTGAAAGAGATTTAGCTGTTACAATACTTCCACATCATAGGAAATAGAGACTTACACACCAACCCTGTGGACGCTCCCCTCCAGCATTTTCTCACATTTTCACCCCTTAGAAGGTATGCAAGTATGACCACCTGAACTCTGACCACTGGCATCGTCTGGGCTGCAGGACTGGCCTCTCTGAAATAGCACCAACCCTTTACCTCCCACACGTAGTGAGGACACAAAAGGCAGCCACATGGCACTTCTGAAGTTACACTTTTACTGAACAGCTCAGCAACTATAGAACAGATACGCTACAGGATGAAGAAAGCTGTCAAGGTCACTCCTAATCAACCCTGGTATAGTAGTGTCACAGCAATCTTTGATCCAGTGCCACATTCGAAACTCTACTCCACTGCTGTGCAGCAGGTGACATACTTTAAAGCCATCAAAAATCTTAACTTCCATTCTCACAACGTATTCATGATAAACTGTTGCCTTTATTAAGCAACTACGATCTTTGAAGGGATTTACAAAAAGCTTTCAGCACACTAGCTCATTATTCCTCATACCTCTCCTAAGCAGCTATTGCTTCAAATGGGTTATAGCGAGTAAAGTTACAATTAATCACTTGCTTAAGGTTAACCAGATGGTATGTTGCTAAGCCAGGGTCAGAATGCACATCAATATGCTCAAGACTAAATTCCTGACAACAATATTTCTGTGCGTACACCTACAGTTCTCTTGTTATTCTGGCTGTTAATCCTCAATTACATGGATGAGCTAGAGCCTGCTGGGTAGTGGGAACAGGAGACAAAGGAAACATCCTATTCAATTCAGACAACCTGGATCCCCTACTCCTGGCAAAGACCAGTGTCTTAGGGAAGACTACTTCCCTTCAAGCCCTTTGTGATAATGGTGTGGCAGAGGCAGTGTGTGAACTCAACTTCACAAGGGGGAATGCGAATCAAGAACAGCTCAAGGTTGATTCCTATGAGGTGGAGATCAAATATGCCTCCTCTCACTGCCATCTTTACCAATTCTGATACCAACCGTCCCTCCCAGGGCACTCTCTACTTCTCTTCTGAGTTCCGTAATTCGTTGCAACGGCCACACAGAACTCACAGGCAGTACTCGTGATTATGGGGTTTCTCACAGAACTAACTGGTTACAATTCACGCTCAGGAAGGCTCAGGATACAATTCTTCCATCATGACAGTCTCTTCTCAGCTGTGCCCGCTGGCCCGCCTCTCTCTGGCCCCTTGTCCTCTGCCTTGCTCGGGCAAGTGTTACAAAGGTCTTTTAGCTCTTCCAGTAAGTTCCCTGAGGCACCCCAGTCTGCCAGGAAGCCCTGGCCTCAAGGCACTCAGCGCTAGCTTTCTGGGTCAGCAAACCTCGCTCCACCAAGCACCCAGAGGCACCCTACTCTGCTGCAAGCCTCTTGCTCCAAGGCACTCAGCTTCCTCACTCTGTGGGCTGGGAAGTCCACCATGCCGTCTCCTGTTGGCCTCTTGCCAGTCTCTTGGTTCTGCTGCCTGTGTTGCTGCCATTCCTCTGCTGCTGCTTCTCGACATCTTGCTGTCTTTGGTATTACAACTCTCTGTCTCCTGAGTCTAGTAGGACCTCAGCACAGGGATCCCAGGTCCAAAGGACACATTCCACTCCTGGTTCTACTTCTTTGGTGGTGGTAAGATCCTGTCTCACATCTCTGGTATGGCTCATTTTAAGCCCAGCAGTGGCAAAGCTAACCAATCCTCTCATTAATGTTCCATATACCTTATTACCATGGTCCCACCTGATCATTTGGTTGGAGTTAGAAAGACTATGGCAAGAAAGGCCACATTAATTCACTGCACCGCACCCTTGTATCTGGCTCTATTATTTATTTAGGTGGTACTGACACAGAGTCTACTTCACATAGGCAAAGCAGATACAGTACTGAACAAACCAGAAATACTCGGATACACATGTATTGTAACTACTTCAGGTGTGGGTAGTAAAAAAATGAAATATAAAAAGTTCCCTGGGTGGCACGAGTCGTAAGCATTTGACTGGTAGTCAAAAGGCTGGTGGTTCAAAGCTACCCAGAGGTTCCTTGGAAGACAGGTCTGGCAACCTGCTCTGACAGATCAGAGCCTTGAAAACTGTATGGAACTCTGCACACATGGGGTTGCTATGAGTCAGCACTGACTCTACAGCAACTGTTATGGGTGGAATTCTGTCTCCAATAAACGTGTGTAAACTTGGCTAGGCCATGATTCCTAGTATTGTGTGGTTGTCCACCATTGTGTGATCTGATTTGATTACCTATGTGTTGTAAATCTTAATCTCTAACATTTTAATGAGATAGGATTAGAGGCAGTTAATGAAACAGGACAAAATCTACAATTTTAGGTTGTATACTTAGTCAATCCCTTTTGAAATACAAAGCAGAGAAGCGAGTGGCAGCGGGGGGGGGGGCCGAGGGGACCTCCCACCACCAAGCAAGAGCCAGAAGCGGAGCGCGTCCTTTGGACCCAGGGTCCCTACACTGAGAAGCTCCTAGACCAAAGGAAGACTGATGACAAGAACCTTTACCCAGAGTCCACAGAGACAGAAAATCTTCCCCTGGAGCTTGTGCCCTCAATTCAGACTTCTAGCCTCCTAAACTGTGAAAGAATAAATTTCTGTTTGTTAAAGCCACTCACTTGTGGTATTTCTACAATAGCTGCACTAGATAAGAGAGCAACTAAAAACAACATAATGTCACGTGCTGGTAAGCTCTATGAAAAACACAGCATGGTCAGGGAATAAGCAGTAACAGAAGTACATTTACTTTTAGTGAGTTAGTGCAGGGACAAGAATCATTTTAGGAAATACAACCTAGTGAAACCTGACTTAATAAGGAAAAACAAATACGTTTTTAATTCTAGAAACTTGGAAGTGCTCTGTGATGACTTTACAAACACTCGTATATATTTCAGATGCTCACTGACTTTAACAACTTTCAGTGTAGGAGTACAGCAGTGAAAGAGTACCACTGACCTTCATGGCTGGGAAAGAGAAGATACAGTGGTTAAACACAAAATCAAAAGGTCATTAGCAAAAGGTAAACTGGGGAACTGGACAAATAAAAGCAGTATGAATACATACTACCAGTAAAGTAAAAGAAAACACAATATTAATGACACAAAACACAAATGAAGACTTTCAGGTTTTGGTCTGAGAGTTTGGAAGTCATCCACTCCCATCCTCAAGAAAAAACCTGAACATACTGAACCAAGAGTTTCAGGTGATAGGAAAATGACTGCCCCCAGAACTGGAGGGACACATAGGCAGATACAGAGAATCATCCCAGAGCAAGCCCAAGAGCAGAGTGCCTACGTGTCCCTCCAGTTTTGGGGACAGTCATTTATCCTGAGACTCCCATAGCCTAATTCATTGATTTCACTGAAAACAATGTTCAGAGCTAAGACTTGAAAGATGCAAAATAATTACCGAAGCAACAGGTGAGAATAGACTGTTCCAGGAGGAGGAAATGCCAGGGCACAGGCCAGCAAGTGGGAGTTTGGTCTATTTTAGGGAGACCCAAATGCCAGCATGACCAGAGCAGCGAGACGTTGGAGAGCAACAGGAGAGGAATTTGGAAAGGTGACTGGAGCCAGTGGGCGTATCATGTTCTAGAGAAAGTGCTGGCTCATGAAGACACTGGCTTCTCATCCAAGTGAAATGCGGAACAATTTTACACCTCTGATCAAACACGGAAAACAATATGACACCTCTTAAAGGTGGGGGCAAATGTAAACGCTGGGAGCCATGTAAGAGGGTTCTGGCCATAATCAGATAAGAAATGATGAAAATGGGCATATACAAAAGCTGTATAGCTAAACACATACATGCAGAAAATGTCAACGCTTTTCTAGTAAAAGCAGGTAAAAAACAAGGACATCCATTATTCCATTCCTATTCAGTGTTACTGTAGAAGCCGTAGCCAATACATACCAAAAATGAAAAACACAAAAAGTAAAGAAATAAAAATGTTAAAAGAAA